AAAATAGCCATTTTTACAATATTAATCCTTCCAACCCTGGAGCATAAGAATTCTTTCCATGTTCTGATATTTCTTCAGCTTTTTTCTTCAGTGTCTTACAGTTCTCATTAAATGAGTTTTTCATTTCCTTTGTGAGATTTATTCCGAGATATTTTTGAGACTGTTATGAGTGGGATTTTCCCCCCTGATTTCTTTCTATGTTTGTTACTGGCATATAGGAAGGCTACTGTTTTGTGTGTCACTTTTATGTCTTGATACTTTGCTAAACATGTTTATCAGCATTAGGAGATTTTGTCTCTTGTATCTCAAATTTTCTAGAACTTTCATCCTGAAGGAATTTGGATTTTGTCAAAGGCTTTTTCTGCATCTAAGGAGATGACCATGTAGTTTACATCCTTGAGTCTATTCATATGGTGGGTTAAATTTATTGGTTTATGTATGTTGAATCATACTTGTATCTCTGGATTGAAGCTGATTTGATCTTGGCCAATGGGCTTTTAGATGTGTTCTTTTTTTTCATAAGATTAGTTTTGTCACTTTTTATTATTTTTAAATGTTTCATGTCATATGATTTGATCGTATTTTTCCCTACAAAATAAATCTCTCCTTTATACAAGAAACAAAAAGAATGAAGAAATCTGGAGAGCAATCACATTCACAAAAGTACTTCTTAAAATTAAGTACCTTGAAATAAATCTAGTCAATAAAGAATTTGCAATAAAAGCCTAGACATTATAAGCTTTAGAACACTGAAGAGAGAAACCAAAGATGACACAGGGAGAGATCCATACACTTGTATTGGCAGGTTTAGTATGTAAATGGTATCTATAACACACAATGCTGGGCAAACTGGATATCAACATGTAAAAGAATGAAACGTGCTCTTCTCCTCTCGCCCTACACACAAATCATTTTCAAATAGATCAAAGAGTTCAATATTAGACTAGAAACTCTGAACATTCTAGAAGAAAGAGTAGGACATACACTTCAGTACGTAAACATCATGGAAGATGAGGTTGTAAGATTAAGTAACCTACTGAATATTCAATTCATTTTCATAGAGAAAGGCCTTGTACTTGACAGTTGATTACTTCATTTTAATACTCAGCCCCGACTGGGTGGGCAGCCTGTTGCTAAGGAGGGAAAAAGAGAAACCAGAGAGGCTAGAGAGAAAGAGAAGGGCCTACTGGTTTAGGCTGATAAGCGGAAAGGTCCTGAATAATATTAAGACTTAGGGTGCTGCTAGGCAGCCGTTTGGATTGATTATTTAAGGGATTTTGAGGCCAAATTTGATTGCAAAGGTAAACGTTTAGGGTCCTTCAGCATGGGTGTCAGGTGTAGAGGCTGAAGGTTTTTTAAGAGACATCCCAAGGGCATTTAGTGCTCAGGGATTGGTGGGATTTTGTAGTCTAACTCTGGGGCAAGCTCAGGAATTTTTGTTATTTCAAGACCTAGTCCTGGGGTCAAGTCAGAGTCAGGGTGCTTTTCCTTGGCCCAGGTCTCAGGTCTAGTTATGAGCTAGGAATTTTTCCCTTGGCTCCTTTACCCTACAGTGAACCTTAAAAAAGAATCTAATACTGTTACGTTGCTAGATTATGGTGATATTTTATTTGTACTAAAATGTTATTTGTATGTTAATAAATAAAGTTGCCTGGGGTCAGAGCTATTAGCAAGCCACAGGAAAGCTGGGCAGTGGTAGTGCACACCTTTAATCCCAGCACTTGGTAGGCAGAGCTAGGTAGGTCTCTGTGTGTTCAGGGATACAGCCAGTATTGGAGACACACACCTTTAATCTCAATACCAACCATGGAAGACCTGGAGGTCTGCACAGACAGGCAGTGATGAAGCAGTCATGTGGTTGGGTTTACAACCAATGAGAAGGCAGAACCGAAAGCCTTTTAAAGACTTTAACACAGGAAGTAGCTCTCTTTTGGAGAGGTAGAACCACTGCAGGAGGAAGGGTAAGATTTTAGCTCTTAGCTCTGACCTCTTGACTTTCTTCTTTGCATTGGTTCTGTTTCTTATTTAATAAGACGGTTGGTTACATCTACACTAGATGACCATAATTTCTTACTATATTTTAAATCTTATTCTTAGACTCACAGATAAGTATAGCTACCACCCTTCATCAAGGAAGCCACTCTCTACAGAAAATCAATACTATCACAGAAAAGGCACTAGACACAGTGATCAACAGATCATTGTGTTGATATTCTGTTTGTGATCTAAAACAAAGCTTGCCCAAAGATCAGAGTGCAGAACTAAGCCACTAGTTCACCATAGAGGCCAGGCTTTTATCTCACTTTTAATCCCAGCACTCAAGAGGCAGAAGCAGATCTTTGTGAGTTCAAGGCCACTCTGGGCTACACAAGATTGATTCAGTCTAAAAGGGAAACAGAGCCAGGCAGTTGTGGCACACAGACCTTTAATCTCAGCACTAGGAAGGTTGAGACAGGATATGGCTGGGTGGAGAAAAGGAATATAAGGCTGGAGGAGACAGGAGTCAGGCTCTCTTTCTGGCTGAGGATTTTGTAGGGGTAAGAAGTAGTGGCTGGATGCTCTGGTTCTTGAATCTTTCAGCATTTACCCCAATATCTGGCTCCAGCTTTTTATTATAGGATCAATTAGGATTCATGTTAGAGATCATTGGTACTCTATCCCCAATGGGTACATATGTACCACAGCTTCCACATTTATGGCTCAGGGACCATAAAGGAAAAAAATTCTCTAAGGGTATGTCTTCTAATAGGTGGAAAACACTCCACTGGAAGGCCACACATCCAAAGGATTGAAAGATATGTCATACCAATAATAAAGTTAACTAAGAACAAGATACTGCCATTAACATGATGGATGCTGTTGTGGTTGTTTTTTCAATTTTTCTGACAAATTTTGTTGGAATTTCGATGGAAATTGCATTGAATCTTTAAATTGCTTTGCTGTGTTTCAGTATATTTCTGTCAGGTTTTGTCCTAACTAGTAAAATAACAGATGTTCATTTTGAAAGAAGGTAATGAGAACTCAGTGCCACCTGAAGCCTTCATAAAGGTAGTTGAGGAGGTCTCACTATGCGTGTGACTGACTCTACAGTCTTTCTCTTTCAGTTTGGGCTGAAAAATGTCCACACCCAGAGTTAAATGCATTTTAATAATTATATTGAATAATCACATATTGATTGAAGTCCAAAACATTGATTAAATATCCCATTTCAAAATACATTCAGCTGAGGGATTATTCTCATCAAATTTCCAAACCCGAGTCTGAAACAGGTAAATTTCATAAGTCACATTCTCCTGATCAATGTATCTTAATACATTTCAAAAGCACACAGTATTCCTGATGCCAATTATATCTTGATGATAGTGATGATGGAATTTGACATAAGCAATGTCATCTTACGAGTAGCAATACATGCTTGAAAAAGATTACATTGACAATATAAATCATTTACAAATATAATCTCAGCTTTAATGTTTAAAGCTCGTGATCTAAGGCCTTATCCTTTCCAGTGTGCCATCTCTCTGTTTATTAGTGACTTATAGAAGTCAATCATGAGACTAATGACAGTTCCCCAATATTTGACCATGATTTTTTATGCCTTGGTCTCAGAATGCATATTTATACTCAAAGCTACCAGAAAGGACAAGGCAGAAACATATTTGAACTCAGAGATTCTGTTTTGGACTGGACAAACAGTAATATACCATATCTTCAGAAAAAAGCAAGTTTTATGTTGTTCTAGAACTCATAATGTACCTCTTACCTTCATTCATAGTGCATTGTCATTTAATAACAAGAAATAGGAAATTATATTTCATATCTATAATTTATTTCAATAACACAGCATACACTGTCATATGGTGTAGTAGTTATTTAAAAATCTCATAACTTATATACATATCTTGCCATAAAGAAGCTTTCAGCTTCATGTGGTCCCATCTATTAAATGTGGGTCTTAGTGCCTGGGCTACAGGTGTCCTATTCAGAAAGTCTTTTCCTGCAACAGTCAGTTCAGGCCTATTACACACTTTGTCTTCTGTAGTATTCAGGATCTCTGGTCTCAATTTGAGATCCTTGATCCACCTGGAGTTGAATTTTGTTCAGGGTAAGAAATACAGGTCAATGTGCATTCTTCTTCTTGAAGCCATAAAGTTTGGTGAGCACAATGTATTGAAGCTGTTTTTCCCCCAGTGTGTATTTCTAGTTTCTTTATCAAAAATAAGGTATCCATAGGTGTGTGTATTTATGTTTGGTGTTCAGTTTAATTTAATTGATCAACACATGTATTGTGATGCTAGAACCATCATCTTTTAATTACTCTAGCCCTGTAAAAAGTCATGAAATCTGGGGTGGTAGTTTCTCCAACTCTTTTTGTATTTGGGTTTGTTTTACCTCTCTCCAGGGTTTTTCTTTTTTTGTTTGTTTTTATTTCTATATGGAGTTGAAAAGTCTCTTCATCAGACCCAGTGAGGCCCGCCCCTAGTACCCATCCCTGGGTTCCAGCAGTTCCCTGGGAACACCCGGCCAATTGGGCCCCAGTTGCCAGTCAGCAGGGCAGGGCTCCTGCTAGAAGGCTCACTGTTCACCAAGACCCCTCAGCAGCAGACCCTGCAGTCTACACACCCTGACACCATTCCCATCCAACCGAGACCCCCGCCACTTCCTGAGACTTGGAAACTAACCCCCAGCCCTATTTGAACCTAGAGGTGAGTGACTGTGTTCATACCCGGTGAGGCCCACCCCTAGGACCCATCCCTGGGCCCCAGTAGTTCCCCAGGAACACCTGGCCAATTGGGCCCCAGTTGCTGACCAGCAGGCAGGGCTCCTGCTGGAAGGGTCCCTGTTTAACAAGACCCCTCAGTGGACCCTGCAATCTACACGCCCTGCCCCCATTCCCATCCCCCCAAGACCTCAGCCATTTCCTGTGGCTTGGAAACCAACCCCCAGCTCTATTCAAACCTAGAGAGAGAGCTCTCATTGGACAAGGGCTGTCATTGGACCAAAAGTAACCTCAGCTGACCTGGAATCTGCCAGCCCTCATTAGACCAAGAGTGGCTTTCTGAGAAGTAGAATCTGCCACCTCTCATTGGACCAAGAGAGGCTTACTGAAACACAGAATCTGTCAGCTCTGACTGGACCAAGAGTCCTGAGAAGACCAAGAAAGTATCTGTAACTCACAGAATCAACTAGCTTGGGTTGACCCAAGAACAGCTCCCTGAGACACAGAATCTGCCTGCTCCAATTAGACCAAGAGCTAAGATTAGACCCAGAAGGGCCCCCTGAGACACAGACACAACAAGCACAGAGTGGACCAACAGCAACTCACTCAGACACAGGCACCTCGTATACCTATTAGACGAGGAGATGTACCAACATCAAGGCAGAAGTACATACAACAACATAAAGAGCATTAAAGCATCACCAGAACCTAGCCCTCCTCCAACAGCAAGACCTGAACATCACAAGACAGAAGAAGCAGAAGAAAGCAACCTTAAGAATAGCATCATGAAGATGCTAGAGTCCTTTCAAGAAAAAAAAATGAAAACTGAAATTGAGGAAAAGATAAATAAAAAAGTGGAAAAATCAATAAATAAAATGAGAAAAAGACAAAGAAAAAATGGAAGAAATAGAGGAAAAGAAAAATAAAAAATTTGAAGAAAGCAATAAATCCCTTAAAGAGAACCATGAAAAAGCAATGAAACAGGTGAGGGAAACAGTTCAAGACCTGAAAAGTGAAATAGAAACAATGAAGAAGACACAAACAGAGGGAATGCTGGAAATAGAAAATCTGAGTAAATGAACAGGAAACACAGATGCAAGCATAACCAACAGAATACAAGAGATGAAAGAGAGGATCTCTGGTGTAGAGGATACAATAGAGGAAATGGATTCACCAGTCAAAGAAAATATCAAAGACAAAAATGTCCTAACACAAAATGTCCAAGAATCTGGGACACCATGAAAAGACCAAACCTAAGAATAATAGGGATAGAAGAAGGAGAAGAATACCAACTCAAAGGCATAGAAAATATATTCAACAAGATCATAGAAGAAAACTTTCCCAACTTGAAGAAGGAAATGCCTATGAAGATACAAGAAGCCTATAGAACACCAAACAGACAAGAACCCCCCCAAAAAAGTCCCCTTGCCACATAATAATTAAACAACTAAATGTACAGAATAAAGAAAGAATATTAAGAGCAGCAAAGGAAAAGGGCCAAGTGACCTATAAAGGCAAACCCATCAGAATAACACCTGATTTCTCAATGGAGACTATGAAAGCCAGAAGGACTGTAGATGTAACCAACCGTCTTATTAAAATAAGAAACACTGAAACAAGGTAAAAGAAAAAGCCAAGAGGTCAGAACTCAGAGCTAAAATCTTACCTCCTGCAGTGCTCCTACCTCCCCGAAAGAAAGCTACTTCCTGTGTGTCTGTCTTTACATAGTCTTTCTGTTCTGCCTTCTCATTGGTTGTAAACCCAAACACATGACTGCCTCATCACTGCCTGTAAGTACCGCCCTCCAGGTCTTAAAGGTGTATGTCTCCAATGCTGGCTGTATCCCTGAACACAGAGAGATCTACCTAGCTCTTCTACCAACTGCTGGGATTAAAGACGTGCACCA